TTAAATACGATGTACCGTGACATTGTAAAGTGGTATATAGGTAGATATAACACTAATCTATAGATGTAAACACATTTGAAGATACATCTGTGTGTTTAAAGTTGATTTTGACCGCCCCGGCCAAGTCGGACCCAACACATGCCAAACACTTCTGATAGAGACTATGTTGAGAATGTAGAGGGAAAAGGGCTTCACTTTGAGCACCTTGTTTTCTTTAAGTACAGCGATCTGAGACACTATAAAGTGGTGTTTAGGTAGATATAATACTAATCTATAGATGTGAATCCATTTGATGATACATCTGTGAGGTTAAAGTTGATTTTGACAGCCCGGGCCAAGTCGGACCGAACACTTCTGACATAGATTTTCTTAAGAAAATACAGTAAAGGAGCTTGACTTTAACGGCCCAGTTTTCTTTAAATGCCATATACTGTGACATTATAAAGTGGTATATAGGTAGATATAACACTAGTCTATAGATGTAAACACATTTGAAGATAGATCTGTGTGTTTAAAGTAGTAAAGTAGATTTTGACCGCCCGGGCCAAGTCGGACCCAATACCAGCCATACACTTCTGATAGAGACTATGTTGAGAATGTAGAGGGAAGAGGGCTTCACTTTGAGCACCTTGTTTTCTTTAAGTACAGCGATCTGAGACACTATAAAGTGGTATTTTTGTAGATATTATACTAGTTTATAGATGTGAATCCATTTGATGATACATATGTGAGTTTAAAGTTGATTTTGACAGCCCGGGCCAAGTCGGACCGAACACTTGTGTGTATAGGGAGAAGAGGTCTACTTTAACCAACGTGTCTGCTTTAAATACGACGATCAGTGACCTTATAAAGTGGTATTTACTCAGATATAGTACGTTCCTATAAATATAAACGCTATGCCGAAAGATGGAAATTTGTATCACGATAGCTAGACGTATTTGATACGTTTCAAATCTTATTTCGCTTAACGATTGCCCTTTTACATGTTACCAAGATCAGAGACGCTTACACACAGCTCCACTTTCTGGTTTTCATGCGATTTACTCCGAATTACTTATTTATGGTGCACTTTTTTGTTTGGTGATTGTTCATTAATGTCACGTGTGTATGTTGCATCAATTATATGTAAGTATGATCGCCGATAATGAAGTGATTAGCCAGTAACACTTTGGCCCGTCTTGGCCCGGCCCGGCCCGACTTTTAGGCAATGCCACAAATGAACCATACGTCTTTCAAGGATTTTTTGCGAACTCTACTGCTGATATTAAAGGAAGGTGAAGAGCAGATAGTCTCAAGGATGTAGCACATCACGATAAATGTTGCCGTTTGTGTGCTGTAATTTGCGCACTAGCTGCTTTCCCTCTCGCCCGAAGAAAGGTGATTTTTTGTTTATAACTAACGACTGACTGCAAAGCGGCCGCATGCATTCACGGGTCAGTGACGAAAGTAGTGTATTCAACCCCATTAAGTATTGACGATGACCAATGCCATAATTGTAATTTTCCAATATTGCAATATCGCAACTTAAACCTAACCAAACATTCAGCAAATAACTTTACATTTTGAAATTAACATAAATGTTGTCTAATGACTGCACTGCAAAGCGGCAGTCATCTTCCCGAGCTAAGGGCGTTAACGGACTATAAAAGTCTAGTTTTCACCCTTACCGAACTAGCCTGGAATTACGGAGTTACATTTTGGCTGGACAAACGAGTCGATGCATAGGCCAATCAAGATCGCGTTGCGAACTAGACATCCGGTTCACAAACGACATTGAATTCAAAGTGCAGATTTCGGTCGACTGCAGGGTTTGCAAAGCATATTTACCACCAACTGGGCGTCGACAGATATTTTGCAAATCGTTCCATGTTTATAATGAAGTTGCTGAAGTGATTTGATGCACTTCGCGGGTAAGACCCGTTTAGTCACAATATACATCTTGATCATGTTGATTATCGATCAGATTGTCTTGACACTCTCCTACCCAGAGTTCCATGCGGCCGGCAGCCAGCTAGCATATTACCTCTGCCACAGGCCAGCGCCATGTGACGATTCGTCACATCTTTCACAGTCCATTCAAGATATTGCATATGCTTTTCATCCGTTTCATGTCTACACATTTTCATAAACAAATGTCAAAGAATGGTTAACTTTCATTGAGAAAGTATGCAAATACGTAAAAATCTACTTGTTTTTGCGTAGTTATCCTATGTTTACATTGGTTGTACGGCTCCACGTGCTGTCATCGAAGCCCAACGGAGAGTTAGCGACACGGTCACTTTGATGCATAAATATATATTGTCATGCAACTCACTGTCGCAGTTGTAGTAGCATATCTATATAGTTATGCAAAACAATATGTAAAGCGCCCCCAAATACTTGCATTAGTCCGTTCTATACTGATTTCTGAAAAAGCGCGTTTGTTTACAAACAAGAGAAAAGTCCAGTCACGTGATATGCAAATTAGCCTGTGGCAGTGGTGTTATGCTGAGTCACCACTGCGACCGAGTGTGATTGTTTTGACTGGGTGCCGCCATCTTGTATGAAGCAAATGCAATCGATATGAGAGGTGGAATCTGATTGGTCAATAGGAGGGACACAGAAGAGACATAACTCCTAATAGCCACTGGTGGCCCAGACAAGGGCTTTACAGAGCACTTTGAAGTAAAATATCATGGTGTGTGCACATGCATCGTGTGTTAGTGATGACATAATGTGTTTATCTGAAAATACATAACTGATATCTCAATCGAGTGTAATAACATTCTTTTTTACTTGAGTGAAATTTACAGTTAGGCCGGAACAACTTGCAGTCTGGTGGCTGGTTTACAAAGTGTGATTACGATAACTAAAGCAACACGTTAGAGAACGTTTGTGACACTCAAAATATCAACTTTTAGTTCACTCGAGGCGATATAAGGTGAGACATTATTTGTCAATAAAATACAAAATATCCTCCATGTGTGCCATCATTGGTTGCAGGATTTTGATTTTTTGTTGTTTATCGCCGCACAAGGCAATATTCCAGCTATATGACGGCGGTCTGTAAATAATCGAGTCTGGAACAGACAATCCAGTGATTGACATCATCAGCATCGATCTACGCAATTGGGATACGATGACATTCATCTGAGTCAGCGAGCCTGATCACCCGATCCCGTTAGTCGCCTCTTACGAACAACATAATCGCATCTTACGACAAGCATAGTCGCCTCTTACGACAAATATAATCGCCTCTTACGACAAACATAGTAACCTCTCACGCCTCTTACGGCAAGCTGACCCGTGAAGATCCGGGGTGGAATAGGTCTTCAGCAACCCATGCTTGCCGTAAAAGGCGACCAACGGGATCGGGTGGTCAGGCTCGCTGACTTGGTTGATGCATGTCATCGATCCCAATTGCGTGGATCGATGCTCATGATATTAATCACTGGATTGTCTGGTCCAGACTCGATTATTTACAGACCGTCGTCATATAGCTGGAACATTGCTGAGTGCGGCGTTAAACAACAAACCAACCAACCAACCAACTTACGGCAAGCTTGGTTTGCTGAAGACATATTGGTTGCAGGAGAATGACAATCTTTCCATTTAGTCCACAAAAGATCGAAGACCCAGTAATACAGTCGTTTGTTGAAAATATTTACATTACAAAATCATATATAGGTTTGATTTTTGTTCATAGAACTATAGGTGATATGTCATGACATAACGGATTAGCCATAGCCATACGAAAAACTCGGGAGTTCTTTAACTTATTTTGAGTAGCATATTTCAGTTATCAAAACATTGCCTATATGTACTCAGATGTTAAGGGTATAGCTTTCATTATACTGACATTCGGTAACGACATATACCTAGGATTAGCATAGCATATAGGCTAATACTATACAGAGTGATTAATATTAATTAATTATTAAATCCTAAGCAGAAAAAACACAATGGTAAGTTTGTTTCCTGTTTAGTGTGTTTGCTGCTTATCGCTGCTATGAGAAACATTCAAGTAAATAATGGCGTCTGGACCAGACAAACCAGTGATTGATAGCCCAAACAACGTCCCACGCCATCGGGTACGTTGACACGCCATCAATCGTGTAGCATGTGTTCCCGTTCCAATGTGACGCCTCTAACGACACACAGTAAACTACGGTTAAAACGAACCCAAAGGGACCACTAATTTTAGTTCGTTATAGCCGTTGTTCGTTATAAGCATATATACAGCATAACTACAGCAAATTTTAGGGACAAAAAAGTAAGTTCGTTATATCCGTCAGTTCGTTATAAGCGTGTTCGATATAACCGTAGTTTACTGTATATATGTTACTGGGGTCGATTCTAACCCGGAATCCCCTTGAGGTATGATGAATAGGAATCATAGATACATTATATTAGATAAATATCGCTAGTGTTGAACTTGCAAGCTCAAATATTGATCGAGGATATTTGTAAAAGCCACGGAGAATATGTTAAATTTGTTCTTCTCGATACACAGTGTGAGCGTCCAGAAGGTAAATAAGCGATCTTTTGAAAATGTGTTCCTCGTTAATGTTTCCGAGACAAGGTCGAATCAGAGACCATAAAATAAAATTTATTTTATGGTCTCTGATCAAATACATCTTCGTCATTATGATACTCTATGAAAACTAATGGGTTACCTCCTATTTATTCGATGTTCTTTGAAAATGGCGACTACTGGTCATATTACCCATCGGCGAAATTATTTTCCAGTAATATTCTCACTGGGCGTTATAATGTTTGCTTCATGCTGATTGTCTGGTTTTGTCCAGTGGTTCTGTTTGTTTTCATTGTTTTCACAGAGGTCACAGAAACGTGACGTCGAAAGAAAGCATTGTCGTAAATAATTAAAAGATTGTGTGTGACGTCGTTACAACAATAGGCCAACTGGCCTATCTCAACTTGAGATCAGGAAACCAACGTAATCTCACAGAATGCATGATTTAAAAATAAACGACTTGCAGATCACCTAGGTTCGGAACTCAGTCTTTATAAAATCAATCCGTCGAAGGTTATCCAAGGGTTTAAAATGATATTTTACAGGCGCTTCGATTACTTTTTCACTATTACATTGAACGCTGTAATAAATATCAAGGGTTTAGAGTGACCTCCCTTCCCAAACAAACGTAAACAAATGACGAAATTGACAGAAAGTTGTCGGGGAAAAAAATTCTGTGCATGGCTGATTGGGCCAAGTTAATATTATGTCATTAATTTTGCGAAAAGGTTTGTATTGTATTTGAGTTGAAGAGCTGTTAATGATGTCAGTCGTTTTGGCCCTGCGCCAGTTTAATCATTCACTGTTGAGTGTTGTCAGCCTTATCATAGTAGGTTGCACAACCGTTCGCAAACAACATTCGCTGACATGAATAAATGCCAACATTTTCTGATGACTCGTTCATTCTAGCAGTACTCGCCGTCGACATTCGATCATTTTCAAGAATATTGTTATTAACGTTTGTGTGACCGGGAAATTCTAATTTTCATCATGAGTGACAACGGCAATGTATCTCAGTCGACCAATTCGAAAAAAAAAAATGGGTGGGTAGGACCGCCGACCAAGGAATGGCTTGAAAACAGGTTGTCCAAGAGGCTGTGCTATCTGCTCCGGTATGGGGCTCTCAAAGAAGGCCTTCACGTTGATGATCACGGTAAGTTAAAGAAAACACATCGTGAATCCCTGTCACTGACCACCAAATCCAGTTTCCGTATTTGCCGTAATAAGCGCCCCGCTCTAATAAGCGCCCACGGCTAATAGTTGCACCCGACTCGCCTAAAATCCGACTCGCCTAAATAAATCTGAGCTGACTCGCCTAAAAAATATATATGATATTTTGGTATGCGTTTGGCAAATATAACTTAGGTTAGGCCTAATGATCACAATTACTAGTATATTCATACACAAGTATGGAAATAATATAAAAAACAACAACGTATCATCCATAGAACTTGTCTTCTGTCATATTTACATCTGCACTTCATGTTGAGTCAGTGAGTCAGAGCCCAGTCGGTTACGCTATTGGGACCGAGACTACAACACTAACATTTAGTTACATTATGTGTATAAAATGCATTACTATGCATTTCTGATAGTTACAAACTTATTCTAAAATACAAAAAAATGACCGTAGTTCGATCAAAAAAAATTTTGGCGAGTGAAAATCTTTTTAGGCGAGTAGGATTTTAGGCAAGTTTGGTGTATCCCACGGCTAATATATTTGCTAATATATTGGCACGTGAACAATACCAATTAGCACCCTTTCCGATTGATCAATGTAAACAAGACTGATTCATTCGCATATAATACACACTCCTTTGTTATATGCACCATCAATTATGGACAATTAAATTCTGGAAAATATATATCTGCCGTACATAAACATTTCAGGCTGTCAGCATGAACCATGAAATTTATCTTTCAACTCTTGTTTTTTTTCACCAAAATAATATTTTAATAAGAGCCCCCCTATTTCTACTTTTGAGAGCGCCCTGGGCGCTTATTACGTCGAATACGGTAGTCGCCTCTTACGACAAGTGTGTGTTGATGAAGACCAATTCTAACACCGGATCTTCATGGGGCTCCCTCATGAAGATCCATGTTGGAATTGACATATATAACAACTCATGCTTGTCCCCAATGAAGATCTGGGTTAGAATTGATCTTCAACAACCCATACTTGTCGGAAGAGGCCAATAAAAGCATCTGGCTGTCAGACTCACAGACTGGAATCATTGTGTCCCAACTGCATAGATCAATGTTCATGATGTCAATCACTGGACTGTCTGGTCCAGACTATTTACAGATAGCATCATAAAGCTGACATATTGCTGAGTATCACGTTAAACAACAAAGAAACCACACAAAATAAAACAGAGGATGATATACTCCTTGCAGGGTTTGTGGACATCGAGGAGCTGCGTTCTGTGAACCTCCTCCGAGAACACGGACTGGAGGAGGTGTTGGAGGAAATCAAGACATCGACATCATGGCGGAAAACGAAACGGTTCCAGTGGAAGGAGGAACATGGGAAGATCTATGTGCGAGCACAGTACGCTCGACGCCTGGAGAAGGTATTGTACATCACTCCATGACTTTGACATTATCAAATTACAGTGAACTATAACAAGGGTTAAGACGATAGGGCAGGCGTAAGACACATACAGAAATAAGTATTGTAGTGGCAGTAAGATGTACAATACATTGTAATTGTATAAAATAATTCAATTATTTCAGGCCATTTAATTTTGGTTTGAAAATATTAATAAAATAACTTTCTTTTATCTTTCTCAATGCATCATTGTCACATTTGTAAAATGAGATATATATATATATATTCCATATTTGACGTAATAAGCGCCCACGTCGATATTTGCTAATATATGGGTTAGTGAACAATCCCAATTAGCACCCTTCTGATTGATCAATGTACACAGGACTTATTTATTCGTGTATAATACACACTCGTGTGTTATGTGCACCGAAATTACGGGCAATTAAATTCTGGAAAAATATATCTGTCATGTATAATACGCACAGACTTTTCTTTTGTATCATTTCAGGCTGTCAGCATAAACCACGAAAATTTACGATCTTTCAACTCTTTTACCAAAATTATTTTCTAATAAGAGCCCCCTATTTCTAATTTTGAGAGCGCCTTGGGCGCTTATGACGTCGAATACGGTATGTACATTTGGAATGCAAATATCTTATGAAATTCTGTAACACAGAATTTCAGATTGAAGTTTGTTACTGGAAATGTACAACAATGGATAACAGTAAAATGGTGAGTGAGTGAGTGAGTTAGATTGAACGCCGCTTTTAACAGTATTCCAGTTATATCCCAGCATGTCAGCTTAATGTGGGAGGAAAGCCCGAAGTGATGCAGGTCTCAGACGTTTACACACAGTAAGATTCTATTGATCATTTTTAGTGCACAGTTGTCAATAAGGTGATCATAAACTGTTTCCTTCTCCAGAATCCATGCCACGAAGACAGCAAGGTGCCAACTCTGTTTGAGCACTGCATACAAAGTGTCATTACCAACATAGAAGATTATGATCTGGACGATTTTCCTGATGAATTTATAATAAGGTGAGAACATCAGTACAAATTACTAACTTCATGTTATTTGCAGTGAGCGACTTTTAACAGTATTCCAGTTATATCACGGCGTGTCAGCTTAATGTGGGATGAAAGCCCGAAGTGATGCAGGTCTCAGACATTTACCACTTTGGTGAAACCCATGAGCACGGATTTGGGGCTGACAGAGAAACATAAATGGGGCGAACCAGGATTCAAACCCACAATTATAGGTTTCTGGTCTGTCCAAGGGACACAACTCTGCACAGCCAATTGCAGCGCCTCAGTTGACTGGGCCACCCGAGCCCCGATATTTACTGTAGAGACTACAACATTGATGGACCACCAACACAGACATACCTCATACAAGATATTACCTTATCCTCAGGGTGAGTGAGTGAGTGAGTTGGGTTTAACGCCGCTTTTAGCAGTATTCCAGTTATATCGCGGCGTGTCAGCTTAATGTGGGAGGAAAGCCTGAAGTGATGCAGGTCTCAGACGTTTACTACTTCGGTGAAACCCACGAGCACGGGTATGGTGCTGACAAACCTAGAAACATAATTGGGGCGAACCGGGCTTCGAACCCACACCTATCATTTGATATTCTGGAGGAGGGTAGGGGGAACCTAGGAGTTTGTATTAAGATTGCCGGGAGATATTTTTTTCAGCTACGGCTACAAAAGCAGATTTTTTTATTTATAACTATGAGCCTGAATTTGAATTTAATTTGTTTAATATGCAGGTAATTTTATTTTCAAAGTCTGAGTGAGTGAGTGACCGCTTTTAGCAATATTCAAGCAATATCACCAGAAATGGGCTTCACACATTGTACCCATGTCAGGAATCGAACCCGGGTCCTCGGCATGACGAGCGAACTCTTTAACCACTAGGCTACCTAACCACCCCTTTAACTGTCTGCAGCATAATTATTTCTTTCAAGAATTTTTAGGAATTTTTTTTATTTTTGGGGACTATGAAAGGCGCCAACAGAAATTCATCTAGACCAGCTCAGAACCTGATATCTAACACCAAGACCACAACTGTCAGTTTTTGTAGATTTTTCAAAATGTGGTTGAAGACTTGATTATCAAAAAATCTCTTTGTGTTTTGCCAGTACAATGATTCATCGTCTGAAGCGTCAGAAGAAGCTGAACAACAAAGCCCTGCAGACCCTGCTGGTGCCCGCCCTGGAGCACGTGGACCTGGAGGGGCTGTACCTCACCAACAACATCCTGAAGATGGTGTGGACCAAGTGCCCCCACATCAAGACCCTCAGTCTCATGAACTGTGGATATATCATGACTGATAATCTCATGTCTCAACTAGTCAAGGTACATGATAGATCGACCCGTGAAGATTCAGGGTCTTCAGCAACCCATGCTTGCAGTAAAAGTCAACTATGCTTCAGCAAGATAACAAGCATTCTACTAGTTCCTATTTTTCAACGGGTACCGTATTTGCCATATTAAGCACCCCTTGATTCTAAACCGGTCTGTAAGTAACCTGTATAGGCGCCGCCTCCTTAGTCTGTTCACTACCACTCTATCTCTGAAAACAATTGAAACTTGTTCTTAGGCTTTAGTATGCATACTCTGGTGATAATTTTCTGAGCACCCAGCACACTTATTTTTTGAGTACAGTAGTTTGTCTTGAGATCTTTATGTTATTAAACTGGTTTTTCAATCTGTTTCAGAAACTGCCAGATCTGACGTCACTGAATTTAGCCCGGTGTCAGCATTTAACAGACATTACACTCAAATCTATCAAAAAACACTCCAAGAAGTTACGAAATATTAACATATCTATGGTAAGGAATTTTACAGAGGCATGTGTGTTGGATTTTATAATAAGTCTTCCCGGGCTAGAGCAGGTGGACATGTACGATGTGAGGATATCCACGGAGGGGCGAGAAACACTGGCGGAGATTGGCAAACACAGAAAGTTGAAAATCATTCTGTATGAATTCCACAGCGAAGAGGCAGCACAGAAAAACCCATCAGAGATGTTGCCAAATTTTGGACAAGTTTGGTACTGAAGACAAGTTCCTTGAGGCTGTCATAACTTGATGTTATGGGGATTTGTGTGCCGGTGGGATTGATCAAGGCAATCATATTTTGCTGACCATTCCCAATTACCCTCCCGCTAAATTTTCATGTCCCCACATACCTAAAAAATGTTCAAATTCACTTTTCTTCATAACACCCACCCAACTGACAATGGTTTTGATTCACATGAAGCAGGAATATTTTTTGGACTATGTTTATATTCTACTCAAAAGAAGTAAAGGAATACCTGATTTTTTCATTCGACTACAGCTAATCTGTTTGTGAAGATAGCAAGTGATATCATTTAATCGAGTGAGTGAGTGAGTTGGGTTTAACGCTGCTTTTAACAGTATTCCGGTTATATCACGGCATGTCAGCTTAATGTGGGAGGAAAGCCGAAGTGATGTAGGTCTCAGGGCGAACCGAGATTCGAACCCACAATCATAGGTTTCTGGCGTGCCCAAGAGACGCAACTGCACAGCGAATCGCGGCGCCTTAGACGACTGGGCCACCCGTGCCCCCTATTATTTAATCGAACTGCTACCAGCTACACCATATCATAGAATTCTAAGTCTACTGTCTTGTTATCATTTGCCGAGTAGTTTTTATGGTTCCATAGCAGGGCTACTCTCACAAATTTCATTGAATTGATGCAGGGTCGACACCCGCATTAATTTTGTGACCCATTAATTTCATGATATACGGTATTTCATCAAATATGGGAGGGGAGGCAGTGATTTTCTTCGTCTGCAGATACTTGAGTCAATAAGATACTTGAGGCAGGGAGTTTGGTACATAAGGAGGCGAGGCTGAAAATCTAATAATTCATTTAACATGGCTATCTTTATCAGTTCCTCTCAGGCTGGTCATGAACATACATTTGTGGAGCTCAGAAGATGATGCTCTTCAGTGTCTGAAACTCAGCAGAGTAAACTAAGCAAGTGAGTGAGTGAGGTTTTACGCCGCTTGTAGTAATATTCCAGCAATATCACAGTGGGGAACACCAGAAATGGGCATCAAACTTCGTACCCATGTCGGGAATCAAACCCAGGTCTTCGGCATGATGAGCGAAGGCTTTAACCACTAGGCTACTCGACCCCCCCCCAAGTAAACTAAGAGCTTTAGGGCAAGCATATTTTAAAATACTGTAAGCCCAGTGTAAAAACTGTAGGTGAAGCAGGGAGACATACACTATGTATACATGACGAAATACAGCCGAGTTCCCGAGTTATAGATGAAGCCTGCATTTATCAAGGAAATGATCTGTGTGTTAAACATCTTTGCAACTTTGCCACTTAAATCTATTGATAAAATGTGACAAATTGAAATGAAATATGTATTTTCGGACATTGTGAAGAGTGATAGATTTAATAAATGAATGATTTGACAGGTAGGTTCATGCAACTGTATTGTGTATATATTATTTTGATGTGGCTATGATTTGGCCAGTATACCGGTCTGCGGGGCTATCAGGCTGAGTACTTTGAAGCTGGACCCTGTTTCCCCAAGCAATCTCAGGGTTATGCAAGGGCCTGCGGAAATTTATAACTATCAGCCCGAGAACAAATCTGTCGGCCTCGGGCCTATGTCTATTTCAATGATGCTATTGTGTTTTTTGAGTGCATTTCATAATAATATACTACTCAACATTTGATAGGGATAATATACACATGACATGAGTGAATCAGTTTTGTGAACCATGGAAAGATGGATATATCCCTGTCAAAAATGGAGTGGTACACTAGTAATAACACTTGAACATTCCCTCCAATTTGAGCTACCAGTACTACTATAAATGCTGAGTGACATGTTTTATAGCTTTGTATATCGATTTGAATATGAAATAAAAAGTAACTATTTTACTGTTTTTGTGTTAAGATTTATTAAAAATCCAAGAGTACAATTTATTATTTACAGTTAAATGTGCATAATGTACAAGAGATGGTCACAACAGCTTGAGATGTCCAGTCACTCTGTCCACAAGTTCGGAAGGGCCTGAAACATATCATGTAAACATACCAATGTCGAGATGAAACACACAAAAACATACGATGAAACGCACAAGATCTTAAAACCCGTGACGATCCGGGTAAGAATAGGTCTTCAGCAACCCATGCTTGTCGTAAGAGACGACTATGCTTGTCATAAGAGGTGACTAACAGAATCGGGTGGTCAGGCTCGCTGGCTTGATTGATGCATGTCATAGTATCCCAATTGAGTGGATTAATGCTCATGATATCAATCACTGGACTGACTGGTCCAGACTCAATTATTTACAGACTGCCGTCTTATAGCTGGAATATTGCTGAGTGATGCATTAAACAACAAAATAAACAAAAAAAACACAAAGACATAAATTCATATCTGACACCCCAGAGTGAGTGAGTGTCTTTGGTTTAAATCAGCTTTGTAAATTATTTCAGTTTTATCACAGCGTGTCTTCTTAAAGCCCAGAATGCAGGTCTTTGATGCAGACAATGGGAATAGAGCTGACAAACCAAGAAACAAAAAACCTCAATACTGTCGCCAAAACCTGTGATGATCCGGGTAGGAATAGGTCAGCAACCCATGCTTGTTGTAAGAGACAACATTGCTTGTCGTAAGAGACAACTATGCTTGTCATAAGAGGTGACTAACAGGATCGGGTGGTCAGGCTCGCTGACTTGATTGCAACAAGTATGCAACAATTAACTCAATTAATGCAATGTTTCTAAATTTCCAAGAATGAAAGTACTATTTTTAGAACATTGGCGCATCTGGTAAATCTCTGGATAACTGCTTAGTAATGTCAACATGTTCTGTTTTTGTGACATGCACAGCTAGGCACAATACAAAGTGACTGAATGCAGTGTTCCCGTTTACCGGCTATTAGCAGTTTTTTACCGGTAGAATTTGACAAGGACCAGTAATTCATGTGGCTGCCAGTCCCTGTGGACCGGCAAATAAAGTACCTTATAAATCTTTGTTGTTGAACAAAACATCAGCGATATTCATACAAGTATATTTTTCGAATGAAGTCAGCTCGTCTGTTACCCTCAGGGCTTCCGCTTGTCTATTTTTAGTGCAAGGAAATAACATTTTGCCTTGGTTCGAGGTTGAATATATATTTGCAGCGACTTAAGTCTTGAAATATAAAAAAAACAGAAAATAGCGACTGAAATTAGTGTGAATGAATTAAAACCAGGTTTTTATACATATTTTTAATTGTTGAAAGTTGGGACTGACAAAAAATTAGGGGGACTGGTAATTTTTAGTGTTGCCAGTCCACCAGGACTGGCAGGTTCGAAAGCCAGCGGGAACTCTGTGAATGTAGTTTTACTGCTGAGTCAGCAATATTCAAGTTGAATCATGGCAGCTTGTAAATAATCAAGTCTGGGCCAGACAGACTGGTGACATGGTGACATGATCCATGCCATTCGAACAGGATGTATTATTTATTGTTTGTATGTTTAACGCGGCACTCCGCAATATTCCCGTTATACCATGGCAGCCGGTAAATATGGTGAATAGTCTAGCCTGGGCCAGACATCTGCTGACCCATATTGTGAACAACAGTCCACACCGCTGGGGTAAGAGGATATGCTATCAACCAAGTCGCCGAGCCTGACTACCAGATCCATTTGATCGCCTCTTGTAGGGCCAGCATCAGTTGCAAGGGGCCTACTCTAAACCGAGATCACCACAGGGGCATTCGAGCAGGATGGCCAAGTCAACAAGGCTGACCACTGTTATAATGACAAGCAATGGATACTGGATGGAACAGTCTACTACATCAAATCCATCAATGGCTATATACTTTGTTTGTTAAATAAACTCAAGCACTGACCTGGTCCGACCCCCAGCACTGTCCTTGACCCTGGAGCTATCTGGGTGCGTCCTGCATCCTGGATGATGCTTGTCGTCAGACCTGCTGACTGGGCCGACTTTGCCAGCGCTAACCTGAAACAGCACAATAATAATTAGGGACAAAAACCGATTGAAATAGACAAAACTATAATCTAGCCCAAGCCAGGAACCCCAGTGGTTGTGCTTGATAGCATTAGCGCTTACCAACAAAATTTCATGTCATTGATCAATGACACACGCACCATGCACACCGCCAGGTCACATTAAGAAAAGCATGGAGTGCCTGTGTTGACCTAGAATCCCCACTGTCGTCCAATGTCGGCCACTTTGGTGAAGCCAATGATCATGTGTATGATAAACCAAGCATTATATTGTGGTGAGGGGAAATAGGGTGTAATGTTGTGTCCAAGATTACTGCACTTATATAGCGACTTGTATGCACTTGTGTGGGGGGCTGCTTGTACTAGTCTGGACTGATGCCAATTTTATAGTGCTAGCCCATTGGTTGTTTGGTTGGTTTGTTGTTTAACGCTGCACTCAGCAATATTACAGCTGACGGCGGTCTGTAAATAATCGAGTCCACGCACTTGGGATCCATGACATGCATCAACCAAGTCAGCAAGCCTGACTACCTGATCCCGTTAGTTGCCTCTTACGACAAGCATAGTCGCCTTTTACGGCAAGAATGGGTTGCTGAAGATTTAATCTACATGAATACCCAGTCCTCATGTTATCCCCGTAATGCCAAACGTCAGTCAGGGTAACAACAAATACCATCTTTTGGCATCGTTTGTTATGACTGGACAGGGGATTGAACCCAACCTGCCGCTCTCCGGGCAGACACTCTACCACAAGACCACAGAGGCGGTCACATCATAATGTGATCTGGAATGAAAGCATAATGTTTGGTTCACACCATCAGTTGATGGATACCCTGGACTTACAAGGATGGTTCATCATCTGTCTTGACCACTACTTTAGGCTGACCGCTTGACCGCCACTTATACAGATGGTCCTGGTTGTTACGAAATGCCTTCTCAGCCCCGGCTACAGCAGCATGAGCACACTGAAATACAAGGACACGCGAAGTGATGGTTGGTTGTTGGTTTGTTGTTTAACGCTGCACTCAGCAATATTCCAGCTATATGACGGCGGTCTGTAAATAATCAAGTCTGGACCAGACAATCCAGTGATTGTTATTATGAGCATCCATCCACGCAATTGGGATCGATGACATGCATCAATGAGCCTGACCACCCCATCCCGTTAGTCGCCTTTTACGACAAGCATAGTCACCCTTTATAGCAAGCAAGGGTTGCTGAAGACCTATTCTACCCCGGAATCTTCACGGGTTGACACGAGAAGTGAATAATTCACTGCCACAGATACATTTACATTTACTCGGATTACCATGGGTATGATGGACTATCAGAATGCAGAAAATTTAATTTTGAACATGTAATGATCAGCCGAGTTCATATTTAGCATTACACTGCAGTTATATATTGGTAATTTATATCTATACACATAGAGAATAATGAAACTTATTATTAGTCAATATTTTGTGTACTTCTAGTCGATACTATCAATACTAAAATTTCCTTTATCATGTCTATGCCATCCCTACCCTATCCTTCTAAACTGATCGTGCTTAAATAAACTGAAAAAATCTAGACTGGACTGAAACATTTGAAACCTTACCACTGCATCATTATTGGTTTAATAATATATTGAGGAATTTTCAAGCATGAGAGGTACTTTACATTTGGGAATCAAACGCAAGGGGACAGCTCTGTCAATTGAGTATTACTCAAGATAAATTGTCATTGGAGCATAGCCAGTTGTAACAAATTACTCAAAAGAATTTAAAGGGGAAGTGTACACGCAAAAATTACTTTCTTTCTTTTTCTAAACAAAACGCAATTTTAGAATTAATTAGTATCTGTGTTTGAAAATATACACTCATTTTTTTCACAGTGAAAGTAGGAAGCTCACAATAGTGTGAAAATGATATGCCGTTATGAGGCCTTCGTTTTTCGAGCTAAACAGGCCTGAGTTATCCCCCTTAGATTATGACGTAATTGGTGCCAATTCAACTGGGTCCCTGTCTATTCTCAACGCAAAAGATATCAAGTACCAGTTTGCGGTAAAACAACATGGCCTACGACACACTCCGGCGCAGTGGTGACTCAGCATAACACTATGCTGGCTGGCATCTGAGACGCTAGAATCACACACCCAGACCTACACCACGTGAAGCGGCTCTAACAAAGCATGATGACGTCATAATGTTTATCAATTGGCACCAATGACGTCATATTGCAAGGGGCATAAGCCATGGTGTTTTTGTTGTGGAAATAGAACACTTGGTAAATGTGAAAAATATAAATCGTTTTAATGCGAAAAATATGTTAATTAATTGTGATATTTTTATATTTTTGTCTATGACACTTCTAGGTTAACACTTTTAATGTGGAAAAGGTACAAGAAAAATAGGTTAATTTCCGTGTGAACTTGCCCTTTAAGGACCACCCGATTCTTTCATATTACTATAGTTAATATGTCATGGCATGACTACGGTAACAGGAAAAAATAGGTTGAGTTCTTATTGCTTTTTTAGCAGTATATATATATATATACAGTAGAACACGGATATAATGAACTACAAGGGACCAGAGAAATCAGTTCGTTATATCCGTTGTTCGTTATACATGTTATCGCTAGGACGTGTCCGCCATCTTGGATAAGACAAAACGAAATACACGTAATTGCAGTATCCTCTACGTCTTGGTGATTGGCAGCTCGTAAAATTTATATGTTTAATGTTTGTTTTACAGACAAGATTACATGTACAGGTAAGATTAACACAATGCAAATTTAACACGGTTGATCTGTCACCGCTGATTGTACTGATTCGCCGCCATTGTGTTGATTCGCCGCTGATTGCGTACAGCCAATTGTCAGTGACACTTGACACTGAGTGAGATTTCTTAGTTCGCTATACACGTCACTAATTAGTGATAGATGGGCTTGTCGGTGATCAGATATCAGTTTGCTGTTTCCGTTAGTTCGCTGTAGAGAGTTCGTCATATACGTAAATTTTATATGATATTATATAGGAGATAAATCGGGTTTTTTTTAACAGTTCGTTGTATCCGTTTGTTCACTATATCTGTGTTCGTTATATCCTCGTTCTACTGTATATATTTTACATGCTGCACCCCACCAATATGTCATGTCAAGCATGCATAACTTTCTTTAAAACCAAACCATCCTTACGATTTTAAGAGGAGTCATTTCTCACCTGAGCTGCAATCTTCCCCTTCCCCATCTTGAGGTCAGTGCGGACGACGATCACCATTTTGTATTCTCCCGAGTCAGAAGCCAAGAGAGGGCGGGATAACTGCAATAGAAAAACATGTCTTGTTCAATACATTATGGCATCAATTTACAAAAACCTTAATTCATAGAGACAGGGCATTATTGAATATTGTAAAAAACATAACATATCTGGCCAGTCCAGCAGACTTTAATAACACTATCCTGCAACAAAGATCCATTAAATTTAACTATCAATAACAAACCAATTTTGAATTTCGATTTGATTACCATACTTTAAAATGGGTAGGACCTGTGAAGATCCGGGGTAGAAAAGGTCTTCAGCAACCCATGCTAGCCATAAAAGGCGACTATGCTGGTCGTAAGAGGCGACTGACGGGATCGAGTGGTCAGGCTCCCAGACTTGGTTGATGCAGGTCATCATATCCCAATTGTAAATCACTGGATTTTCTGGTGCAGACTGGATTATTTACAGACCGCCGTCATATAGCTGGAACATTGCTGAGTGCGGCGTTAAACAACAAACACACAAACAAAATTGGTAGGAACGATTATTTACACACTATTGTCATGCATGTCAGAGAACTACTGTAAACATTGTAAAGTCAGAGAAGACTAAAATCACATGGGTCTTAATTCTCTTAACTCTTAATTCTCTTAACCTGGTAATATAAGGATTAAAAGACAACAATAATTTTCTTGACAGAAAAGTATTGGGTTCAGTTACAGTAACTCTGGTACTCAGGTCAGGTGGGTCCTGAGTAGGACCCGGGTACCCACATGACTACTAAGACCTATGGTTGGTCACGTGATATACTGTAATGACATTAACAATAAAACTCAATGGTTACACTACAAGTATAGCTAATGTTCACATCTCTTTCTCACTGTGCAAGCATTCGTTCTGACTTTTATATGTCAGAGTAAGGATAAAGCGTCAATCAACTGCAGTGTATGCATGATCAGATTGTTTTATACATGTATCTAAACAGTGTTCGAAATACCTGCCTGCCCGACCGTCCGAGACGGGTTGATTTCAACTCGGGCTGCCAGATTTTCAAATCCCCCTGCCCGACGGTCGGGTTATATTTCATATGTGAAAATATTCAAAATATTTCCCGATGATAAGCATTAATTCACATGTAAAGATGAATGATAAAATGTAACCAAAAAGGAAACCCCGTTAGCTTATCCTGAGAAACATATGATTATAGTGGGCAGGCAGGTTTTGGTCAGGGCTGGCAAGTATTTCAGCTAGCCATTCCTGTGGTCTGGCTGAAATTTTTGGGAGTTTCATACCCTGATCTAAATAGTTTTTGCAAGGGCTACAGTAAAACAATTCCCATTCGGACATTTTGTACCCAACTCTTGAGACCTATAGCGGGTATCCGGGTAGGGCTGGGTAATGGTGTGTCGAGTACCCAGGTAGTAAATTTGGACTAGTTACTTGTATGTATAACTTACATCATCTGAATTATTTGACGTGAACTTGATTCGCCTGGCAGACCTTGCCTTGAAAATCCAGCCAACTGCAATACCAATTCCAAGGCCCAACACGAATGTTGCTGTCTGTTTCTGATCAATTGACAACATCTTTTTCTTGCTTCAAGCGAAGTAAAACGCTTAGTCCTGATATGGTATGATCCAGCGTTGTGCAATTGTGTCCACTGATGTGCTAACTGTATAATCAGTGATAATTGTGTATTGTATTGGAAGTCTGGATGTGTAAACTTGGCTCTAACATGTATAGATTTTACAAAGAGAACTACAGTCTGACCTAGTTATGAACGTACTCAAAAGCATGTTCATGCGAATAAATGATTACAGTTTAACGGACTAATCAGTTGGTAACAGAATAAGCTGATCAACTCGCACAAGTTTTACTTCACGTGTTGAAAGCTATAATAATAAAGCCGGCGGATGTTGATAGCGAGCACTTCCTGTTCTTTCTTACACTGAAAATGGTTGCAAAAGAACGTGTTTTCATTGGTTGATATTTACAGTACAGCCAATCAACGCTCTCGATTTCTACACTGAAAACAGAGAATATAAAATGTATTATTAGAAGCGAGTTTAGTTACGATTTGCGGGAGAACGAGAGAAGGAAAGAAGATGAACTTATACGATCATATCAAACAACTGCATCAAGCAGAGCTTTATGGCGATTTAAAACATTTGGTAATGATGTATTTAAATGCCCACGCGCACCAATTACATTTGCTTTGGCAACATTTTCCGTATAATCTGTTTTCACGTCAGGGATTTCTCTCATGAATAGCATTTTCATAAATTTTGGTCTAGACCTATTTTGTATTTTGAATTGCATTGATTTGAGTTTAATTTTTTCCTTCTCATATAGCAATAAAGTGTTTTACAAAAACAAATGCATTCCATTATTCAACAGATTACAGTCAGTGTAGCAGTATTGAAGGTTTTTTTATGTTATGGGTTCTGGATTGTCCAATGAGTTAATTTTTTTCTATGGGATAATCAAGAATGAAATATTGTTTTTTGAAACGGTAAAATATATAATAGAGTCAGGTTATTCAATGAGTTTAGAGTTCTAGTGTTTGTTTCAGTCCTCCTTTGTGCTGTCTTTATGTGACAACAGTGCAGAAGTGGAGGTACTGTCCCTTCCACAGAAATACCAGTGTCTTGTACACTTTGGTGACGCCTTGTACCACACAGAGGAGTTCAAGAAAGCCGAGGTAGGCCCGCTGCCTCATCTCTCTGGAAGCCAAAAATCGTATAATTTACAACACTGTAACAACATGCTCACAATTTACAAACTGTAACAACATGTTTACAATTTACAACACTGTAACATCATGCTTACAATTTGCAACACTGTAACATCATGCTTGCGATTTACAACACTGTAACAACATGCTTACAATTTACAACACTCTAACAACATAGTTAACCGTTAAATACTAGCATCCAGCGAAAGTAGACAGATGTTCACAATAAACTCTGACCCTGCCGAGTGTCCATTTGGATGACTAGTGACTAATAAACAAAACTAAACAGATCGTTGTTTTAGCTATAGTTTGTCTTATGCTGGACAGGGGCTTGTCTAAGGCATTGCAATTCACTGTGCAGAGTTGCATCCCTTAGATATATACATGTATCAGAAACCTATGTGAATTTGAATTAACTTGACTTGCCCAATACTTGATTTGCCCAGATTTGCCCTAGGTTTGTCATTTTATAGGTTTCACCACAGTAGTAACTGAAATTCTGTATAAACTCACTCACTCACTCACTCACTCACTCACTCACTCACTCACTCACTCACTCACTCACTCACTCACTGATTCACTCGTATATCATTGTAAACTAATATGAAGTAGCACAATCAAGTATGACTGATTTAGTCTTCATACTAATCATTGCTGATTAGCCTTCAGTATGTATTTCACATGATTACTGCCCCATATTCAGAAACAAACAGACCCGTGAAGATCCGGGGTAGAATAGATCTTCAGCAAGCCATGCTTGGTGTTAAAGGCGACTATGCTTGTCGTAAGAGGTGACTAACGGGATCGGGTGGTCAGGCTCCCTGACTTGTTTGATGCATGCCATCGATCCCTATTGCCTGGATCGATGCTCATGATGTCGATCACTGGATTGTCTTGTCCAAACTCGATTATTTACAGACCTCCATCATATAGTTGGAATATTGATTGGGTGGTCAGACTCGCTGACTTGGTTGATGCATGTCATCATATCCCAACTGCGTGGATCAATGCTCATAATGTCAATCACTGGATTGTCTGATCCAGACTCGATTGTTTACAGACCGCCGTCATATAGCTGGAATATTTGCAAAGAAAAAAAACAATTACACCGTTAGCCCTGTCCATGTCACATTGAATAGGATACATTGAGAATCGTCCAAGTGTCTTTTGATCTCAAATATACCAACACAAATCAATACAAGCTTAAAAGTCTGAGGTTTATCTTTCACATCATTCTTCAAAAGTTTCAGCTTGTAAACAGTAATAGGCAGGGTCTTCAGTGTAAAAAGTACAGCTAACCAGCTTCAGTGGCAGAGAGATTAGTGATGCCATTTGATTGTGACGTCATGGTAACCAATGAGGTCACAATGGTCCACAAAGCATTCTGATGCATTTCATTGTAGCAATATCTTCTAGCGATATAGACCCGTGAAGACCCGGGGTAGAATAGGTCTTCAGCAACCCATGCTTGCCGTAAAAGGTGACTATGCTTGTCGTAAAAGGCGACTAACGGGATCGGGTGGTCAGGCTCGCTGACTTGGTTGATGCTTGTCATCGATCCCAATTGCGTTGATCGATGATCATGTTATCAATCACTGGATTGTCTGGTCCAGACTCAATTTTTTACAGACCGCCATCATATAGCTGGAATATTGCTGAGTGTGGCGTAAAACAACAACCAAACCAAACCACACCAAATCTAGCGATATATCTCCTGTAGAAGCCAATTTTGGATAATAAATGTGTTTAACATGTTAAAGCTAACATTTCATTATATGTTTCAGAGTATATTCAGGAAATCTCTGCTCCTGAAGAAGGCTATCAACAAATCAAAAGGCAAATGTTCAGGATCAGCTGTGAGTTGAACAATAATGTTCCGACAAACAGGACTAGAATGACGACTGGTTAAGTCCTATTAATGGTTTCAGAGAAACACTCCTTCTTAATAAACTCGTGAAGATCTGGGGTAGAATAGGTCTTCAGCAACCCATGCTTGCCACAAAAGGCGACAAACGGGATCGGGGGGTCATGCTCGCTGACTTGGTTGATGCATGTCATCGATCCCAATTGCATGGATCAATGTTACAGACAGCCGTCATGTTGCTGGAATATTGCTGAGTGTGGCGTAAAACAACAAACCAAACCTAAAAACTTCTTTATGAAATGCTCATGATGCTGTGTACTCATCATTATACTTCATCAAATGATGGGTGGCAGAGTTGCGTCCCTTGGGCACGTCAAAAACCTATGATCGTTGGTTCAAATCTTGGTTTGCCCCGATTATGTTTCTAGGGTTGTCAGCACCATACCCATGCTCGTGGGTTTCAGCAAAATGGTAAACGTCTGAGACCTGCATCACAACAGGCTTTCCTCCCACATGAAATTGACACTCTGTGATATAACTGGAATGTTGTTCAAAGCGACGTTAAATCCAACTCACTAATTTTCTCGTTAATCACAGGTACTAACTGTAAAACATCTAACTTACTTATAAAAGACAACTTTATCTTAAATTAGGCCATCATTTGAGTATTTACAATGTCTGTGTGATGCCACACCCCTTCTTGTAGTGCAAGTAGTCGCAATAAACATGGCCGTCCAAAAACATAAGATGTCCGAAAATCTATGATCCGATGATATATATTACTTGGAATGGTTTACTTTTCAGGATGTCATCTCGGAAGTTGATGTCAAGTTCAAGCTATATCAGTGTCTATTCCAACAAAAACAAAACACAGAAGCCCTCAATGTGGTAAGTGGTCAACTCTTCATCACAGAGAGTGTATAGTGTACTAAACCTCCATGTATCTTGAGGAATGTTGGAACGAGGAATTAAGCAGGAACGTAATGGCCTCCTTGTAGGCATGGTTTGTGGCGTACAGTAATATTGATGTATTGCACAAGTAGCGTACAGTGGTATTGATGTATTGCACTAGTCACGTACAGTAATATTGATGTATTGCACTAGTGGCGTACAGTGGTATTGATGTATTGCACTAGTCACGTACAGTAATATTGATGTATTGCACTAGTGGCGTACAGTAATATTGATGTATTGCACTAGTGGCGTACAGTTATATTGATGTATTGCACTAGTGGCGTACAGTAGTATTGATGTATTGCATTAGTGGCGTACAGTAATATTGATGTATTGCACTAGTGGCTTACAGTAGTATTGATGTATTGCACTAGTGGCATACAGTTGTATTGATGTATTTCACTAGTGGCATACAGTAGTATTGATGTATTGCACTAGTAGCATACAGTAGTATTGATGTATTGCACTAGTGGCGTACAGTAATATTGATGTATTGCACTAGTGGCGTACAGTTATATTGATGTATTGCACTAGTGGTGTACAGTAGTATTGATGTATTGCACTAGTGGCGTACAGTAGTGTTGATGTATTGCACTAGTGGCTTACACTAGTATTGATGTATTGCATTAGTGGCGTACAGTAGTACTGATGTATTGCACTAGTGGCGTACAGTAATATTGATGTATTGCACTGGTGGCATACAGTTGTATTGATGTATTGCACTGGTGGCATACAGTGGTATTGATGTATTGCACTAGTGGCGTACAGTAGTATTGATGTATTGCACTAGTGGCGTACAGTAGTACTGATGTATTGCACTAGTGGCTTACAGTAGTGTTGATGCATTGCACTAGTGGCATACAGTAGTATTGATGTATTGCACTAGTGGCGTACAGTAGTATTGATGTATTGCACTAGTGGTGACAGTAGTAATGATTTATTGCACTTTTGTCGTACAGTTGTATTGATGTATTACACTTGTTGCGTACAGTAGTATTGATGTATTGCACTAGTGGCGTACAGTAGTACTGATGTATTACACTTGTTGCGTACAGTAGTATTGATGTATTGCACTAGTGGCGTACAGTAGTACTGATGTATTGCACTAGTGGCGTACAGTAGTGTTGATGAATTGCACTAGTGGCATACAGTAGTATTGATGTATGACACTTGTTGCGTACAGTAGTATTGATGTATTGCACTAATGGCGTTCAGTAGTGTTGATGCATTGCACTTGTAGCGTACAGTAGTGTTGATGCATTGCACTAGTGGCATACATAAGTGTTGATGTATTGCACTAGTGGCGTACAGAAGTATTGATGTATTGCACTAGTTGCATACAGTAGTATTGATGTATTGCACTAGTGGCATATAGTAATATTAATGTATTCCACAATGAAGTGCAATTTGGGGTGCAGGCAGGTCATCATAGTCATAAGAAACAAGATATTTATTTGCATAAGTCCAATCTTAAATTAAATGACAACTATTACTTCCTACTTGTCCTACCATACTGTATTGGTTACCAGAAGACTGCCACTGTTATGATATGTGGGGGTAGGTTACACAGTTACAGAAGTGTTTTTCAAGTATCTTAGCTGTGCTAATGTCTGTTTTATGTGTTTTAAGCTTGAGAGCATCAACACAAAGCAGCGCACTGCCAAGATCAACCTGGCGCTGGCCAAACTGTACCTGCGCGATGGACGAGACAGATCAGCAATGACTTGCTACAAGGAGGTCGTCAGGTGAAATATTGTTGCTACCCTGTGCCTGTTTGGTGCAATGGTGAATAACAGGAAGCATACGTCATGCATGCATAATGGGGTGGACGCATGAAGATCCGGGGTAGAATAGGTCTTCAGCACACCATGCTTGTAACTGATGACCATGCTTGTTGAGAGGAAAATAACGGGATCGGGTGGTCAGGCTCGCTGACTTGGTTGATGCATGTTATCATATCCCAGTTGTGTAGATTGATGCTCATAATGTCAATCACAGGATTGTCTGGTCCATACTCAACTTTTTACAGACCGCTGTCATATAGCTAGCATATTGTTGAGTGCAGCGTTAAACAACAAACAAACAAAACATAACAGCGTATAGATCACGGAGGATATACATCAAAGGCTGTTTACATCATGGGGTGCATGTATTACAGGGTGCATAGATGACAGAGTATAAATTAATAAGAGTCAGAGAGTATGTATATAATGTGTAGAGTTTAAGATGGCCGTTGGTCAATTTCAATTTGACAGATGGTTTGTTTAAGTAGTCAGATTTCTGACTGATCAAAAACCTGAGCAAGGAATCAATCATGCATTTCATAATTTCATAATTAAAAAGTAAATAGTAAGGATTATTTCTACTTACTGTTTTGATTTAATAAAACAATGTACAGCCATAAGAATAGTAGTTGAAGTTCTGAGCAGTGCGTGTCTTTGTATCATACTTTCTGTGTCATAGGAAATGCTGTCAGGAGCTATAGTGACTTTGTCAGGTGCTTTTGTTATTGGATGTTCATTGGCCCAGTCATCTAAGGCACCACGATTCGCAGTGCAGAGTTGCTTCCCTTGGGCACGCCAGAAACCATTGATTGGGGGATCGAATCCCGATTCTGCCCTGATTATGTTTCTAGGTTTGTCAGCACCATACCCGTGCTCGTGGGTTTCACTGAAGTGGTAAACGTCTGAGACTTGCATCACTTTGGGCTTTCCTCTCACGTTAAGCTGACACTGCGCGATATAACTGGAATACTGTTAAAAGTGGCGTTAAACCCAACTTACTCACTCACTCACTCACTCATTGGCAAGGCATTGTTAAGTCATTAAAGGCCTCTCCAAACAGAATGTTTGTTTTGTTTATCATGTTTATTTGACTTATTGAAATTTTGCCATTGACTTATTACATTGCTTGGGTCCAAGTCATTGACGTATATGCAGCTCTTTGTGAGGAAATCACTGGTATTTGTGTATTGACAGGGAGCATCCCCTGGCTCTGGAGGCAGCAGTGGGGTTGTTGACGCTGGGAATGAAGGGAGCGGATGTAGCCTCACTCATCATGAACAGTCTTCCCCACGGCACCAGCTGTGAATGGTAGGGAAGCTCACATCCACTGTGTTTTCATCAACAAATGTCATCTTATGCATGTTATGGTAAATGGACACGGATAGAGCGAACAAACGGATACAACAAACTGTTGCCATATCCCTGATTTATCTCCTATATATTATCATACAAAATTTACGTACACAACAAACTCTCGACAGCGAACTAACGTATACAGCAAACTGATACATGATCACCGACAATCCCAAATACCACTAATTAGTGTGTGTATAGCGAACTGAGAAATCTCATTCAGTGTCGAGTGTCACTGACCATTGGCTGTACGCAATCGGTGGTGAATCAACACAATCAGCGGTGACAATTCAACCTGGTTAAACTTGCTTGATGGTAATCTTACCTGAACACGTAATGAGTTTCTTATCAATCTGAGAAATGAATCTTTATGTGGACATGACCTAGGAACCAAGAGATTTTAAGCCTTTCAATTTTTATCCCCCCGGCTTCTAATGCGGGTGACCCATGAAGATCCGGGGTAGAATAGGTCTACTATGCTTGTCGTAAAAGGCGACTTAACAGGAGAGTGTGGTCAGGCTCGCTGACTTGGTTGATGCATGTCATCAATCCCAATTGCGTAGATTAATGCTCATGATATTAATCACTGGATTGTATGGTCCAGACTCGATTATTTACAGACCGCCGTCATATAGCTGGAATATTGCTGAAAATCTGAAAATTGGAAAGATTTTTCATCCAAACCTGGTACATGTAATAACCAGGGGCTGAAGTGGTGCCTTTTGCTATTTAGGAATTTTTCAAAATTTCATTTCCATGGAAACAAGTAGACTTAGCTGAAAAGGAGGTAGGTGTACTTTCCGGAGCAGAAATAAAAAACTTTTCAAGATTTTTCATCCACCTTGGTACATGTATTTATCAGGGGCTGAAGTGGTGCCTTTTGCTATTTAGGACTTTTTTTTTAAATCCTGTTTTCATGGCAACAAGTTTGACTTTGCCTCTGTTCGTAGTGGTGTGTTTGTCCCTACCACATCTCTTAAACTAATAGGTACTCTTTCTTGAAACTGTGCACACACAAAGACCAGGTTGTCAACTGGTGCCTGTTGCTATTATTTTTTCTGTTTCCATGGCAACAAGTTTGTTCATATTGGTGTGTATAGACATAGAAATACAAAGCTAGATTCCCAATTCCATGGTATTGTTTTGATAGCTCAATAACTACTCTTGTATACGGACAGACAGATAAGATAGAAATTCTCAAGTTGGACTTAAAGTAACTCTCAGATGTTTTGTTCTTTAAAATTTGTGGGGGCCGGGGGATTTGTCGTCTTCTGATTGCTCTTGTATGGAGTCGTAAACCAAGATTTAAAAAACTCATCGCAGTTGTGATGATGATGATGATGATACTGCTTATTTTCAGAGTAAAATATGACAATTAGAGCTTTTGTTTATTAACTTGATATTGTCGGATTGAAAACTTGCAGACCTGTCACCCCTATCACCAAGCAGACAGAATGACTATTTTGACTTTTTATGTTACTTTTGATCTGCTCTCTTGGAAATATGAATATGTCCTAATTATTTCAGGTTATCATCGTGGATCAAAGGTCACGCATATCTCTCATCTAAGGAGTATTCCAATGCAGTTCAGACATTCAGACACATGGAAACCAAGGTGGGTGGACTGATTGTTTACTGTACTACTGACATATAATATGTGAGTGAGTGAGTTGGGTTTATCTCCGCTTTTAACAGTATTCCAGTTATATCACGACGTGTCAGCTTAATGTGGGAGGAAAGCCCGAAGTTATGCAGGTCTCAGACGTTTACCACTTCAGTGAGATCCACGAGCACGGGTATGGTGCTGACAAACCTAGAAACATAATCGGGGCGAACCGTGATTCGAACCCACAATCATAGGTTTCTGGTGTGCCCAAGGGACGCAACTCACGACGCCTTTGCGGACTGGGCCACCCGTGCCCCCTATAATACATGAAAGAATTTTTGATTTTTCTTAATTACAGTAGGGCAGTGGGGTAGTCCGGTGGTTAAAGCGTTCGCTCGTCATGCCGAAGACCTGGGTTTGATTCCCCACATGGGTACAATGTGTGAAGCCCATTTCTGGTGTCTCCCCGCTATGATGTTGCTGGAATATTGCTGAAAGCAGCGTAAAATTATTCATTCATTATTCAAATGGTGTATGATAAATATAGTGGATAGAGCATCTGCCTGGACAGCAGTAGGTCCATGGTTCGCTACCCAACCATGTCATACCAAAAGTTAAGAGATAATACTTGTTGTTACCCTGCCTGGCACTCAGCATTAAGGGGATACAAAGACTGGTCAGCTCGGAGTCAGTATACTGTGTCTGAGGGGGAATATTCATGTTAAACTGCGGCATGGTATCTCAGTTACCTTGTGTCCTGTTCCAGACCTGTTTGAAGGACAATGTGCAGCTGTTGAACTGTGTCGGGGAGGCCAGGTTCTATGATGGCCAGTACAGTCAAGCCATGGCAGTCTTCCAGAGGGTAAGTAGTCACAACTTTTAATGTGAAGTTTCAGGGTATGAAACTCCCCAAAAATTCAGCCAGACCACAGGACTGGCTAGCTGAAATACTTGCCAGCCCTGACCAAAACCTGCCTGCCCACTATAACCATATGTTTCTCAGGATAAGCTAACGGGTTCCTTTTTGGTTACATTTTATCATTCATCTTTACATGTGAATTAATGCTTATCATCGGGAAATATTTTGAATATTTTCACATATGAAATATAACCCGACCGTCGGGCAGGGGGATTTGAAAATCTGGCAGCCCGAGTTGAAATCAACCCGTCTCGGACGGTCGGGCAGGCAGGTATTTCGAACACTGGAAGTTTACACTATATACAATGAGGGGTTGTCACATGACCGTGAAACTAACATTCATAACGTCACATCTTTACTTTTACTTACTACGTTTTTCACGAGATACTATTCTTGAAATGACGTAAACACCTACGAACTACTTCCACATTCCTGGGGAAACCCCTGGGAATTCCCCATCACGAATAATACAGAAACCTTGTTTCTGATCATTTCGATCCTTCGAATTTTCGCATCTATTGAGATAAGTCAGATTTTGACAGCATGCCCATTCAAGAATAAAATGCCTCTGTGGTCTTGTGGTAGAGCATCTGCCTGGAGAGCAGAAGGTCCGGGATTCAGCCGTGTCATACCAATAGACGTTAAAAGATGGTACTTGTTGTTATACTGTCTGGTGCTAGGCATTATGGGGCTAAAACAAGGACTGGTAGGCTCGGAGTCAGTATACTGTGTCTGAGTGGGGTATTCATGTTAAACTGCGGCATGGTATCTCAGTAGCCTAGCACTATAAATCAGCATCAGTCCGGACTAGTACAAGCAGCCACACACACAAGTGCAATAATCTTGGACACGACGTTAAACTCCATTTCATCTCACCATTGAAGAATATGCTTGCTACAACCCATCGCAAGCTCCGACGTTCATACAGTTTGGCCCTCACACTATGAACGTTCATACTCCAATGAACTGAAAGTGAAAGTCAATTCTTGATTATCTACAGTCTTATGTCTCCTCTGTTTTGATAAATATCTCATTCACTACCATTGTTTTGTTTGTGAGACCATTTTGAATGGCACGATACTTAAAATAACTCTCCAATCAGGAATGCGAAAACAATAGCTTGGTTTGCCGATCAAATGCCATGGAATCACTTGCTATTTATTTGTCTGTTTATGGAATGTATACTACTCAAAAGAAGTTACTCAAAAGGGTGTTCTTTATTTTGTTTGTTTCTTGCCGCACTCAGCAATATTGTAAATAATCGAGTCTGCACCAGACAATCCAGTGATTGATATCATGAGCATGGATCCACGTAATTGGGATCGATGACATGCATCAACCAAGTCAGATAGTCTGACCACCTGATCCTGTTTGTTGCCTCCTACGACAAGCATAGTCTCCTGTTAGGGCAAGCGTGGGTTGTTGAAGACCTATTCTACCTCGGATCTTCACAGGGTGTTCTTTAACTTCTTTTGAGTAGTATATATGGTCGTGCATGAGGTTAGTATTTCTGGTTCTGTTTTAGGTACATGCATTAGATCCACTTGTCCTGAAAAACATGGACCTGTACGCCTTCCTGCTTAAACGAGAAAAGAAATTCAAAGAACTACAAGGGTGAGACCAAGTCATTGTTCAAACACAGCCATTATTTGTTTGTAATCTAACACCGCACACGACAATAATTAGCTGCCAAGTGACTGATATTATGAGCACCATTCCACACAATCAGGGTATGGTGACATGCAGTCAACCAATCCTGACGATCTGTCCATTCAGCTCCCTCATATGACAAGGATAGATTCCTGGGGACCTATTCTAACAAGGAATCCCCATGGATAAAGCTTGTTGTTTGTAATGAAAATATTGAAATCGCCCAAATAGACATGGTGTTGACTCCGGTAAATTTGTATTACCTACGGGGCACGGGTGGCCCAGTTGCCTAAGGCTTTGCAATTTACCACAGAGTTGTGTCCCTTGGAGATGCCAGAAACCTATGATCGTTGGTTTGAATCCCAGTTCATCCAATTATGTTTCTAGGTTTGTCAGCACCATACCCGTGCATGTGGGTTTCACCAAAGTGGTAAATGTCTGAGACCTGCATCACTTCAGGCTTTCCTCCCACCTTAAGCTGACATGCCGTGATATAACTGGAATACTGTTAAAAGCGGCGTCTAACCCAACTCACTCACTCACTCACTCTAACACCCATGCATATTGATACATCCGATCAAATAAATCACGTCCAGTTCAAAGCACCATTTAACACAACTCACTTATATCACCTACAGATGTCTGGAAGCTGGTTTGTGTTTTGTATTGTTTTATATTTAACCTGTCTATCACAGCAACTGTTTGAAATATTTTGACTAATTATATATTCTTGATATTGCATTATTCAACAGGCTGGCTCAGCAGCTCATGTGCATCTCCGATGGCGCCACAGAACCGTGGGTTGCCATGGGTTACTATTCTCTCATGTGCATCACAAAGCCCAAAGAGAGAGCTGCAAGAGCGGTCTACTTTGCTCAGAAGGTAACCATGCTCTCTGTACTTATTGCTGGTAGGTCTAACAAAGTGTAGACCCGTGAAGATCTGGGGTAGAATATCTCTTCAGCAACCCATGCTTGCCGTAAAAGGCGACTATGCTTGTCGTAAGAGGCGACTAACAGGATCGGGACTCGCTGACTTGGTTGATGCATGTCATCGATCCCAATTGCGTGGATCGATGCTCATGTTGTCAATCACTGGATTGTCTGGTCCAGACTCGATTATTTACAGACCACCGTCATACAGCTGGAATATTGCTGAGTGCGACGTAAAACAACAAACCAACTAACAAAGTGTGACAGCAGCTGACATACAATGGGGCCACGTGTGACCTGTTCCATGATCGTCGTGGCTGTCGATCAAACTATTTGAACAAGATGCCAAAGGTCACAACCTAACTTGTTGTAATCTGAAACTGACTGGCAATATGTAACAGTCAGATGGCCTCTTGAAAATGTGGATTTTTAATTCTAACTACAAAACCTTTTTTTTCACATACTTGAAGATGTGGGGTAGAATAAGTCTTCAGCAACCCATGTTTGCTGTAAAAGGCGACTATGCTTGTCGTAAGAGGCGACTAAAGGGATCGGGTTGTCAGACTCGCTGACTTGGTTGATGCAGGTCATCGATCCCAATTGTAAGGATCGATGATGCTCATGACATCAATCACTGGATTGTCTGGTCCAGACTCAATTATTTACAGACCGCTGTAATATAGCTGGAATATTGCTGAGTGTGGCGTTAAACAACAAAGAAATTGTTTAGGTGAGTTTGCATTTTCCTGAAATAAAAAAGGGCATAAAATGTGTATAAACAGGTCTGAAATGCTCTAATTGAATTCCAACACAGAGTTATGAAAATCGACCCCTTTAAAAAGCTGTATAAACAAGAGGTCACCCTCACTGTACAAGCCAGAATTTTCTTATGCCTCCAGCCCTATAGACCAGTAGATATGAAACCAGAAACACTGCTTCTATTTTAACTTCTCACTCAGTACTACCTATGTTTCCTTTGTGACGAGGGGGGCACAGGTGGCCCAGTCATCTAAGGCGCCGCGATTCGCTGTGCAGAGTTGCATCCCTTGGGCATGACAGAAACCTATGATTGTGGGTTCGAATTCCGGTTCGCCCCAATTATGTTTCTAGGTTTGTCAGCACCATACCCGGGCTCGTGGGGTTCATCGAAGTGGTAAATGTCTGAGACCTGCCTCACTTCGGGCTTTCCCCCCACATTAAGCTGACACGGCATGATATAACTGGAATACTGTTAAAAGCGGCGTTAAACCCAACTCACTCACTCACACCTTTGTGACGATGTTGTGGTCCATGTTGCAGTGTTGTTGTTGTTGCAGGCGTACCAGATAGATCCCCGGTCTATACAGGCCCTCATCCTCAAGGGTACAGCGCTACTGGAGCTGAAGAAGATCCAGGATGCCACGCTTCACTTCCTGGAGGCTGTTCGACTCGCTCCACATCGATTTGAAGCTTACAACGGTAAACACGGAACATATCCTGCCTCTGTGTTGTTGTGTATGCCATCCATCCTACATCACAGGACCCGTGAAGATCCTGGTTAAGAGTAGGTCTTCAGCAACCCATGCTTGCCGTAAGAGGCAAACATGCTTGTCGCAAGAGGCAACTAACGGGATTGGGTGATCAGGCTCGCTGACTTTATTGATGCATGTCATCGTATCTCAGTTTGCGTGGATAGATGCTCTTGCTATTAATCACTGAATTGCCTGGTCCAGACACGGCGTAAAACAACAAACACACACTCATTTATTACAGTGGCTTGAAATGTGTCTGCAGGCCCTGGCCCTGGAACCTGGTGGACGATAGTGTGAACATCTACATGTTACCGTGGCGACAAAGATATGGGTCATTTAGATTAGAAGCAATATTCCATCATCAATTTTTTTTTTAAAGTCTGAATTTCACAGCAGTTTGAGAGTGGGTATAATATCTGTGAAATATGGAAATGACATGAATTTGTCTGTAGACATAGGTATTGTGTGTTTCAAGACATAGGGGTCGGTGGTGTGGACTTGTGGTTAAAGCGTTCACTCGTCATGCCAATAGCCCTGGTTCGATTCACTACATTGGATCATGTCTGGTGTCCCTTGCCGTGATTTTGCTGGAATATTGCTAAAAGCAGTTTAAAATCATACTCACTCACTCACTCACTGTAGGCATTGTATGATTTAAATGTGACATAAAACACAAGGGACTTTTTTTTTATAGTAATGCAGGATAAAGATGTCCTTACAAGGAATACAAGTCTCTTTTTAAAATCGGTGTCTTTTTCAGGTCTGATCGAGTGCTACCTTTCCAACAACAAAATCAAAGATGCTCTCACCTGGGCGGGCCGGATGATACGAACACACGGGAACAGTGCCAGAACATTCACTGTACGTTTATGGTGACAGTAGTGCAGTGTTTGTGACAACTAAGTCACTGTTTTATGGCAAATTACACACATTTCATCTCATGACAGTATAAGGTATAAGTGGCCCTTGCTTGGGGCTCTCCTCCAAGTTAAACGGCCGGTAGGGTAGCCTATTCACTAAAGTGTTCGCCCTCACACCGAAGGCCCAGATTTGATTCCCCACATTGGTACAATGTGTGAATCCCATGTTGCTGGAATATTGCAAAAAGTGGCGTAAAACTATACTCACTCACTCCTCCCACATAAGCTCACACAGTTAAAACATGTTAAATACAATTCTGTCACTCAGTCATTCCCTGCAGTTGGAATTCCGGGTTAGAATAGGTCCCCAGCAACCTATAGATGAGTTGACCAAAAGGATCGGGTGGTCAGACACTGTGACTTAGTTGATAGCTCGTGCTCATACCCTCAATCATAGCTCACAATATCAATCTCTGGACTGTTTGATCCAGACACGTTTATTTATAGGCTTGGTCAAGTAGCTGAAATATTGCTGAGTGCGGAGTTAAACTACAAACAGACAAACATTGTTTGCTGTTCATTATCTGCATGGACCCATGAAGATTCCGGGTTAGAATAGGTCTTCAGCAACCCATGCTTGTTGTAGAAGGTGACTATGCTTGTCGTAAAAGGCGACTAACGGGATCGGGTGGTCAGGCTCGCTGACTTGGTTGGTGCATGTCATCGATCCCAATTGCGTGGATCGATGCTCATAACATCAATCACTGGATTGTCTGGACTCGATTATTTACAGACCGCTGTCATATAGCTGGAATATTGCTGAGTGCAGTGTAAAACAACCAACCAACCAACCAACCAACCATTATCTGCATGAACAATTGTGTAGAGAACCACTTCTGTTGGACCAAACTTGGTTTATTTCACTAGACTATTCACCATGTCTTGAGGGACATTGTCTCAGCAATATTCCAGCTATATTATGGTGACTTGTGAATATTCGAGTCTGAACAAGACATCCATAAGTGATACAACGTTCCATGCTGTCAGATACCAGACATGAAACCAACCAAGTCACTGAGCCTGACGACCCCTGAAGATTCCGGGGTAGAATAGGTCTACAGCAACCCATGCTTGCCGTAAAAGGTGACTATGCTTGTCGTAAAAGGCGACTAACGGGATCAGGTGGTCAGGCTCGATGACTTGGTTGATGCATTTGCGTGGATCGATGCTCATGATATTAATCACTGGTTTGTCTGGTCCAGACTCGATTGTTTACAGACCCCCGTCATATAGCTGGAATATTGCTGAGTGCGGTGTTAAACAACAAACCAACCAACCAACCAACCACTAAGCCTGACTACTCATCCAGTAAATCCCTTGTACGACAAGCATATAGATTGCTGGTGACCTACTCTAACCTGGAATTGCCACAGGGTCACTGGAAATGTTCAATACAGTGTTGGGGAGTATACTGCCTAAATATTGCTGAGTGTTGTTGCATAGTCAATACTAATTTGTATATCGTTGCTAACAATAGATCTGAAAATATACCAATAGGTAAAGTGATTTAGTTTTATTATTTGAGAGTTGTTCTTTTTTCAGTTGTATGCTTCAGTGTTGTCAAAAGATCCAAATATGATATCCAAGGTAGGTAACTCTCCTCTACTCACTGATAGCCCATGTATGTCCCATGCTTTCATGTATAGCTTGCAGCAGATGATTCAGAGAGTAAGTAATTACACTGTGTCCAAATTCTTACTGTAAAACACCCCACAATCACAGTACCTGTGAGGACCAGTTGATAGTTTTGACAAGATTTGAATGTCACGTGTATCTTCAATCTCATGTTATGCAGGGGATATTCATCCCCCAGCCAAGGATAAGGATTAAAGGTCAAACTGCATATACCGTATTCGACGTAATAAGCACCCAGGGTGCTCTCAAAATTAGAAATAGGGGGCTCTTATTAGAATATTATTTTGGTGAAAAAAGATAAATTTCGTGGTTTCTGTTGACAGCCTGAAATGTGTCTGTACGACAAATATATTTTCCCAGAATTTAATTGCCCATAATTAAGGGTGCATATAACACACGAGTGTGCATTATAAGCGAATAAATTAGTCTTGTGTACATTGATCAATCGGAAGGGGTGCTAATTGGGATTGTTCACCAGCAAATATATCAGCAAATATCGACGTCGGCGCTTATTAGAGCGGGGCGCTTATTACGTCGAATACGGTACTCTTTGAATATTGTTCTAGGGCTGATTTCTGATTACAAATAACAATTGTTGAGAAATTTGATTGACAGGTTGTAGAAGTGTGATGTGTCTGTACATGTGTAGTATCTCAACCTTTCATAATGAACAGAAACATGTCTTGACTAAACATATAGGTTATTCCCCCTGAATTCTCACATTGAGTCAGTGTTCACATACTTCAAACATGGCCGCCGAGAGAAGCGATCAGGCATGCATCTCTATATATAGTAGCGAGAGTTATACTCTCAAACCTCTGAGCCTGCATGAGATAGTCTCGAACCAATAGCTCTTACACGATACATTATAACATGTAAGATAATGTATGGTTGTATTCAGGCGAAGCCCTATCTTGAGAAGGCGATGAAGATGGATCCGTCATCCCTGGACCCTGTGTACAACATGTGTGAGATCCTGGCCCAGGAACAGCAGCATGACCGGGGCATAGAACTGTGAGTGGAGACACAGTACTTTTGTTTCACCCTCGAGAGTCTCTCAGATGTTGCAAGCCACCGTCAACAGGTTGAATGGTGTCTGTTGTGGTTGAACCTCCATAATATGGTTGAATGATGTCTGATTATGTGTTGCGAGCCTCTGTGAATAGGTTGAATGATGTCTGATTATGTTTTGCGAGCCTCAATGAATAGGTTGAATAATGTCTGATTATGTGTTGCGAGCCTCTGTGAATAGGTTGAATGGTGTCTGATTATGTGTTGCGAGCCTCTGTGAATAGGTTGAATGGTGTCTGATTATGTGTTGCGAGCCTCTGTGAATAGGTTGAATGATGTCTGATTATGTGTTGCAAGCCTCTGTGAATAGGTTGAATGATGTCTGATTATGTGTTGCAAGCCTCAGTGAATAGGTTGAATGATGTCTGATTATGTGTTGCGAGCCTCAATGAATAGGTTGAATGATGTCTGATTATGTGTTGCAAGCCTCCATGAATAAGTTGAATGATGTCTGATTATGTGTTGCAAGCCTCTGTGAATCGGTTGAATGATGTATGATCATGTGTTGCAAGCCTCCATGAATAGGAGGAATGGAACATCCACACATTGTGAAACCCCCATGTACACTTTTTTAGAATGTTAGAAATAGTTAATTAAGCTAGAAGGTATCACATGAATGTAGGTTGCTTATTAAAAGTAGTTCCTGCTAGGTGGCCTTTTTTTGCAGATTTTATTACCGTGTTTATCAAACTTGTTTACTGCATCCCTGACACTATGATGAAAACACTCAACACTCGTGTACTGATCGCCATCTCGTCCTCGTCCTGCAGCCTCCAGAAGCAGCTAGAGAGTCACTCGACAGGCCGACTGCATCAACTTCTGGGGGACTTCCTGGCCCAGACCAACAGGATCCAGGAGGCCATGGACCAGTACATCATCACCCTCACGTAAGTGCAGCAGCAGGGGCCCAGTAGTGTGGCTGGTGAGTGAGTGAGTATGGTCTTACGCCGCTTTTAGCAATATTCCAGCAATATCACGGCGGGGGACACCGGAAATGGGCTTCACACATTGTACCCATGTCGGGAATCGAACCCGTGTCTTCGGCGTGACGAGCGAACGCTTTAACCACTAGGCTACCCGACCTCCCCAGTAGTGTGGCTGGAGTGTGATAATAATAATTATAATTTATGCATTTGTATAGCGCAGCATTCACTGTGCATAAGTGCTCTGTGCGCTGCAATGAAACTTATAGTCAGTGGGAGTGTTTTTTGAACAGGTGGGTCTTGATGGGTTTTTTGAAGTAGGAGAGTGATGAGGAAGTCTTTATGGAGAGAGGGTGTTCATTCCACTTGGAGCTTGCTGTGTATGCGAAGGATCGCATGCCGAATGATAATGTCTTGACAGGTGGCACTGTTAGAAGGAGCTGGTTTTGGGACCTTCTTGTAAGGTGGAATCAGTTCTGTCAAGTAGGCTGGAGCTAGATGGTTGACACATTTGTAGGCAAAGAGAAAAAGTTTGTAGTCAAGTGTATGTACAAGCTTGCAATTCTGTGATCCTGTAGATCCTTGTGTCTCAAGCCTCCATGAACAGGTTGAATGATGTCTGTTGCAGGATGGAGCCGCTTAACGTGAAGGCTCGCGAGGGAATCGAGCGGCTGGAGAAGGACAACGACATGGGGCTTGAGGGAGGCTACGATGTGGAGGTCGAGATGGGGGGAAGTGACAATGATGTGAGTGATGACGATGTCATCTGAATAAATGTCAGTGGTCATCAAGTGAATTCATTCTATTTGTAAATACATACTCAGTACAACTCTAAGAAAGATATTATGCAAATGTCAATGAAGGAATCTTTTTGCCACAATAGAGAACTTCATCTCAGTGTTAGTCATAGGAAATTGTTCTTGTTGACCTAAAAATTTGGTAATCTTGGGTATGCTAGTTATGATCCACTTGTCTGAATTGAACTGTCAGTTAATGTAATTTAAGTCATTATGTCTGTCCGTGCATCTTTTAAAATAATGTCTCTTAATAATTGTATCACAGATGACTGTCATATATTGTTATTGGTCCAACAAATGAAGACGTATGTTCTGTGAACATCATATACTAGTTTATTGTCACCACATCCTCTTGCCATCTGTCTGTCGTTGGGATCTTGAACAAAGGGCTTGACTTAGATATATTTCTATTAGGTTCCTTGTGTCGGAGGTATGTTGGTGTAGATTTGATACCTTTCATTGACCTATCAGATTCAAGTACCCTCCAATGCCAATAGAAATTGGAGATGCCCCATATTTGGGTTTCAACTTAATGTTAATGTCTTGATTGATCAAATATTTAGTCACACCTGCTAGTCGCCGATCACATAATGTTTATCAACTTTGTAAATGTCTTCAGTGCCAAATGCCAAGTTTTATTCATATTCAGGATGGAGAAGAATATTAAGAAGCATTCATATGCTGTGAGAAAACATGGGGTTGGGTTCTTTTAGACCCATTTAACATTGTTTTCAACCAGTCAGATTGAGCACACATTCACATTTTACACTATGGTATCAAACCCCATTCAATAACTCACTCACTGAAGACATACAAGAGAGTGTATGGTAGCTCCCCAATATTGCACATAATGTCAGAAAGATGGAGTGTAAAAACGTTTTATGACCGTTACGACGTCATGCTATTGTTGTTTTGAGCCAGGAATTCACTGGCCATTCTGAACAAACTATAGATTATTATGCAAAATTATTGTGATACCATGACATGGCTTATGTCATAGAATTGACTCGAATCTGTTGAATTTGGATGTGGAATGAACTCATCCCTTCTAGGAATCAACAGATTCTCATGAATTTCCCATTACATAACATATGTTGATCAGTTGAAGTGACAAGACCTCGCTTTGCTTCATTGTTGTCACATTGTTCATGACGTCACAAATAGATGACATCTGTTCATCTGATTGATAGGCAGACTCAATGATCAAAATTAAGCATGAAAGTCAAGGGATCCCTGCCATATCCCAATTTTTGAAAAATTTGGTGGGTCCTCGGATTCAAGTACCGTATTCGATGTAATAAGCGCCCAGGACGCTCTCAAAATTAGAAACAGGGGGCTCTTATTAAAATATTATTTTGGTGAAAAAAATCAGAGTTGAAAGTTAAATTTCATGTTCATGTACGACAGATATATTTTTCCAGAATTTAATTGCCCATAATTAAGGTTGCATATTACACACGAGTGCGTATCATACGCGAATAAATAAGTCTTGTGAACATTGATCAATCGGAAGGGGTGCTAATTGGGATTGTTCACTAGCCAATATATTCGCAAATATGACCGTGGGCGCTTATTAGAGCGGGGCGATTATTACTTCGAATACGGTATTATTGGAGCAAACCTCAAGAACTCAAGAACCCCAGAACCCCTCCTAATTTCAAACCCCACTTACTTCCGCGAAAGGTTCATGCGATTTTCTTCATTTCAAGTGCAGATTTATGCAAAGTGTGCAGACTGGTTTTACATTTATGACACCATAAATACAAAAAATAGTAAATTCAATTCCTATGAATAAATATGTCAACAATATCAACTTCCTAGACTGTACGAAATCGGTGACATCATTTGGAGCGATAATGTAACAGAAGCCCTGCCCATTTTATTATCAGGAAACCACAGTCCATTTATTTATTTATTTATTTGTGTTTATGGAAACAAATGCATAAAAATTGCTTGGTTAGCCATTCAAATGTCACAGAATCACTTGCATTTTATGTATTTCGTCTTCTTAAAATCACAAGGAGTAATATACTACTCAAAAATACTTAAGGATCACCCGATTCTTTCATATTGCTACCGTATTCGACGTAATAAGCGCCCCTCTCTAATAAGCGCCCACGGCGAGATTTGCTAATATATTGGCTAGTGAACAATCCCAATTAGCACCCCTTGCGACCCCTATTCGCATATAATACGCACTTGTGTGTTATATGCACCCTTTATTATGGGCAATTAAACTCTGGAAAAATATATCTGTCGAATATAAACATTTCAGGCTGTCAGCATAAACCACGAAATTTATCTTTCAACTCTGTTTTTTTGTGGGTTTTTTCACCAAAATAATAGGGGCGGTCGGGTAGCCTAGTGGTTAAAGCGTTCGCTCGTCACGCCGAAGACCCGGGTTCGATTCCCGACATGGGTACAATGTGTGAAGCCCATTTCTGGTGTCCCCCGCCGTGATATTGCTGGAATATTGCTAAAAGCGGCGTAAAACCATACTCACTCACTCACTCACCAAAATAATATTCTAATAAGAGCCCCCTATTTCTAGTTTTGAGAGCGCCCTGGGCGCTTATTACGTGGAATACGGTATAGCTAATCTGTCATGGCATGAAAGAATCGGGTGATCCTTCACTTTTTTTTAGTAGTATCTAAAGAATAACCGATTTGAAACTCAGAATTACAGAATTTCTGTAGCTCGTGAATGAATTCTGTAAGTCATCGCCAGACAGTCAGGTGTTACATCATTCATTATGACGGGACAGGAACTCCATGATTCCTTGTATCTCATTGGTTATTGTCTAATTGTGTGTTCTGTTTGCAGGCTGACTTTGAAGGCAGTGACATGGAGAGCACATGGTCAGAGACCGACTTCAGTTAACATAGGCTCAATGCTAGTCCTTTTCCCAGTGCTAGTGCTGTGTGTGATCCCTGCATAAAGGGATGGAAATTAACTGAAAAACCAAACAAGCTCACGGGGCTAGGATTTGTTCAATCTTATTAAAATCAGATCTTTGTTCTCGCTACCGCTAAACAAAGATCTGAGGACATCCCATTACGAGTCACGTCAGAACGACCTTTCATCCAACCAATCATAGCGTCGCTTACCAGATCCTGAAAGTGACAGTCGGAATGTGATTTCTAATCATGCAGCCTCGAAATATTTAACAGAGGGTATTCCGAACGACAATTACGGGTTTTATGATTATATCCATACAATCTAAGCCATCCATAAGCCGTTCCAGAATGTTGTTTTGGTCAGTTTTAACTTTTGTAATCAAGAATACGTAAAAATATGTTTCGAAGCGAAGTCGCCAGTTTGAAACTAGTGCCGTAAAGCTCGAGAAAGCTGCCTTCTGAATGGCTAATGTCGGTCAATGTTCGCGAAAGGTCGTTCTGACATGACCCGTAATGGGATGTCCTCAGATCTTTGTTTAGCGGTAGCGAAAACTAAGATCTGATTTTAATGAGATTGGGATTTGTTCTGCTGGCCCTGCAAGAGATTACTAGCGCTTATAAAAATTAAAAAGAGTTTCACGCTAAAATAAATAACAGTCTTGGTTCTCAGGCACCGCCACACATAAAGTCCGTCGCAGGTTCGTTTTTATTTCCATTTTCAAAAAAATATAAAAATCCTTATACTTGATAACAATACGATCCAATATAGCACGCAGTTACTTCCCATGTTTACTTTACATGTGCAGTGCTTTACTGCGTATCTCGCGTTATGGTCATGGCGGCAATAGGTGTTTGTATGATTGTTTTCCCAAAGGCCCTTTCCCAGGTTGATGGAACACTACTGTTTATTTGGTTACATAGCAGTGTGAACAAGCCACACACAAAAGAAACACCGCCCGCCTCACTATATTTTAAAAAATCGTTGCCTGAGAACCAATTCTTTTATTTTTTTAAGTCCAAATATCAGTCTTTACCGACTTGAAAGGTTGTGCCAAATGTCTAGCACAATGATTTGACAAGGGGAATCAAGAGGATATGTGAGTCAAACATGTGTAAAAAAAACTTAGGGCTTGTAGCATAATCTGTTAGCCCGAGGTAATTTCTAAGAGCCTTGGGCCTATGGGCAAGGGTTAATTTCCATCCCTGCAGCATACAGGCATAAAATGGCAAATCAAAACAGCATATTGTTAGAACTTACATCTCAGCTGCTCAACCAGTAATAGACACTTAAACTTGTAAATTATTGGGTTATCTTCGCCTGTGTCTGTTTTGTAGATGTTTAGTTTGTCTCAGTTGCTGGTATGATTGCATTTATTAGATTGTGTGGTACCTTTTTCCATAAGCTTCAGGAACCAAATGGTTAAACATGTTAAATGCATGCTGGTTTTACAGTATGTTATTGTTGTACATCTGACATCTGCAAGGCCCTTTTATTTTTTGTTTGTTGGTTTACACGACCCCCCAACACAGCCTCTTTCAACTCTTACAACTGGTGGGGGCCCTTATTCCTGATGCAAGGGAGTTTACTGACTACAAAAGTCCACTTTCCGCCCTTGCTGATCTATGATGAAATTTTGTGGCTCGATCGTAGCGCCGCCTGTGGCAATTAGGAGTTATGTCCCTTCTATATCCCTCCTATTGACCAATCAGATTCCACCTATCATATCACAAACAGTCAAGACGATCTGATCCGTGATCAAGATCTATGGTGTAATAGAACAGAACGGGTCTTACCTCGCGAAGTGGATCAAATCTTTTGAGCACCATGATTAAAAACATGAAAGATTGGGTCGACGCTTAGTTGATGGTACCCATCCTTTGCAAATCCATGTTTATGAACCGGATGTCTTTATTCGGTGAGCGATTTTGGTTGGACTGTGCATAAACTTGTTCGTCCAGCCTAAATATAACTCCATAGTTCCAGTTTAGTTTGGCAAGGGTGGAAACTGGACTTTTACAGTCAGTTTAATCCCTTGCCTCGGGAAGATGGGAGACCCCTGACACAGCATTAGAGTCAGCAATTTAAATCCTGATAGAGACACTTATTAATATTCTCCCCAAATTTTCACTGCAGATATTTGTGGCTGTAGTTAAAGATCATAGAATCTGCTGAATGTAGTGTCACCTGTCAAAGCTAAGCTAATATTCTGCCATGTTAAAACCTGTTTCTTTATCATTCATTGCTGGAGGGAGCACGGGTGGCCCAGTCGTCTAAGGCACCGCGATTCGCTGTGCAGAATTTGCGTCCCTTGGGCACGCCAGAAACCTATGATTGTTCGGTTCGAATCCCAGTTCGCCCCGATTATGTTTCTAGGTTTGTCAGCACCATACCCGTGCTCGTGGGTTTCACCAAAGTGGTAAACTGCATCACTTCGGGCTTTCCTCCCACATTAAGCTGACATGCCGTGATATAACTGGAATACTGTTAAAAGCGGCGTTAAACCCAACTCACTCACTCACTCATTGCTGGAAAGTTCATTTGGAAGTTGACCATCTTCCCGAGGCAACAGCATCCACTAGCCTTTTGTATCAAAGTCTTGTTGCCACACCAAGCCCACTTTCCTGTGCTCAAATCAACATACACGACTGGTACACCTTCGTATGAAAGTGATTAGCCGCTGCCTGGCTGTGTTGACACAAATTTGTCTTTTCATTTTTTAACCCCCCACCCCCCCTCAACGATTGCCTATGTTTTTGTGTCAGGGATAAAATCGTGAATGTTTTCGTTATGTGACCGACTAGGCCGTCGCCTATGATAGTCGCTTTATGAGACAAGAACAGCTGATTGGATGTCGCGTTTCTTTACAAGGGGCACAACTCGTGATATACGTAAGGCGGTGCCTGGGTCGAGCCCAGAAAAGTGGCCTTGATGTGGCAAGGGAAGAAACTAGGATTTGATAAAGGCTGGTGGACACGCTTGCATGAGGGAAGATGGAAGTGGACCTGCTTCATTGAACAGGGGACAAAACAAATTTGAAACCAACAAATGCAAAATAAAAGGCCTTGTTGATACTTGTTTTAGTGGTCACATTAATTGTTGATGTCTGCAGTGTCAGGAATCATAGTAGTTGAATTGAATATGAAGCTGAATTTGAAATAGTTTCTCCATCTTTGGTATATATTACATCTGTACGGATGTATGGAAACCTGTTTGGGCCATAACAGTTTGTTTTCAATTTCTCTTTAAAATTAAGGATAAAATTGAAATTAAAAATTCTTGATATTCCTTGTATTTTGAAAATTCAAGATACTTTGTTGAAATTTCCTCATACTATGTTGAAAATTGAAAATACTTAACTTGTAATTTCAAGTGCACTAACAATGTTTAATTTTCTTGAAAAAAAAAGATATGGTCCTAATGGGTTTCCATACATCTGTTTCCATAGAACTGCCAGAGTTTTTCATTTGAGATAATCAAAGATATGCCTGATCAAACATTGCATTTATGTAGACATATACAGAGTTACAATATCATTCAGGTTCTCAGACCTATCATTGTATCAACATCGGTGAAAGAACCCCCAATTGATAGCAGTTCATTTCAACATCAAGACATTTCCCTGCACATATTTATCTTTGTTCGTTGCCTAGGAAACATTGTATTTTCATCCTAACAGCATTGCATATGGTTTTAGTTATGTTTGAATAAGAATTTAATGTCAATATGTTGTCAAGGTTAGAGGAAGGTAAGGTTAGGTATAATTCTTCACGTTATAGGCAATTTTGTTTGACTTAGTCACAGAGGTGCATAGGGAAGGGTTGACGGTCAGAGTATTTGTGATGATCATTATTCGAAATATATATGCTTTTGTCCTGCATTTATTCTGTTAGGAACCGACCAGTTTCTCTTTGAGGGCATCGTCAATACTTTCAGATTTTGAATACCCTACGTTCCCCCTGTTAATGCTTACAACTCTGTGGGGCACGGGTAGCCCAGTCGCTGCGATTCAAGGTGCAGAGTTGCGTCCCTTAGGCACGCCAGAAACCTATGATTGTGGGTTCGAAACCCGGTTCGCCCTGATTATGTTTCTAGGTTTGTCAGCACCATACTCGTGCTGGTGGGTTTCACCGAAGTGGTAAACGTCTGAAACCTGCATCACTTCGGGCTTTACTCCCACATTAAGCTGACACGCCACGATATAACTGGAATACTGTTAAAAGTGGCGTTAAACCCACACTCGCCTACAACTCCATTGCAATGCAATTACTAGTTTCAACGACCACCTCCTTGGTCTAGTGGTACAGTGTCTGCCTGGAGAGTGGAAGGTCAGGGGTTCGATCCCTGGTCGTGTCATAACAAAGGACATTAAAAGATGTACTTGTTGCTTCCCTCCCTGGTGCTCAGCATTAAGGCGATAAAACAGGTACTGGTCGGCTTGGAGTCAGTATACTGTGTCTGAGTGGGGTATTCATGTTAAACTGGGGCATGGTATCTCAGTGGGCTAGCACTTGTACTAGTCCAGACTAGTACATGCAGCCACACACATGCACATCGTTATATAAGTGTAATAATCTTGAATGCGATGTCAAACCCCATTCCACCTCCCCAATTTTTAACCTGAGAATCAATACTTCTCAAGAATGCAGGGGGCGGTCGGGTAGCCTAGTGGTTAAAGCATTCGCTCGTCACGCAGAAGACCCGGGTTCGATTCCTGACATGGGTACAATGTGTGAAGCCCATTTCTGGTGTCCCCTGCCGTGATTTGCTGGAATACTGCTAAAAGTGGCATAAAACCATACTCACTCACTCACTCACTCAAGAACGCAGTGTATACAAACCTGTGAAGTATGGACAATGCTGTGAAGGGAAGTGGATGGGATTTTCATTCAAGTACTGATTTGTATTAAACAAGGACATTAATCAGTTAAACATTATGTTACCAGAATCTTGTTAATCTAAAAAGATTTTTTAGGGGTTTAGTAAATGAACAAGTTTTGTTTTTTTCGGTTCCAATGGTCTCTTGTCTGAAACTCCCAGAACTATGGAAGATGAACTGGTTGGTATATTAGTGGCGGTGTGGACTAGTTGAGGCAGCATGTTTGTATTCCCGTTTTGCTGACCTTAGTTTTAGCTCATCTTTACAAATGTCCCTGGAAGCTGTTCCTTGGTTGGATGAGAATATACTATAGTTGTCGCCACTTGAA